GGCTGGGGATGGAGAGAAGGTGAAAGAGAACCAGAGAGGGGCCCCCCACCAGGCTGGCCTCAAGGTGCCCCATGAATGCTACCTTTTTTTTCAAGTCCCAGCTACGTAGTGACGCCTCCTCCACAGACAGCCCCATCCAGTAGGGGTACTGGTGAGATGATAGCCGATGGAGGTATAGAGGAGGGTCCTGGCATGAGATCAGAGGCCTGAGCTCATCTATGTGGCCAGAGGCAGAGCTGCCGCTGTCTGGGCCTCATCAGCCCCACCTGGACCTTGACCATGATAAGGTGGGCCTGGCTGATGGACGTTTGGTTTTGTGTCTGAGCTCCTACGACCTAAGAGACTGGACTCCTCCTCCCAGCCCAAGACAAATGGGTTCTGGTCCTGTGGGACCCACTAGGGAGGGCTGCACTCCAGCTCAGCGGCCAGAAGACGGCCCTGCTCTCATGTCCAGTCTGGGGCCTCCGTGTGGGCCCACCTGTCCCCAGGGTCCCCCTGGGCATTCCCGAGTGACTCATCCACAGCACTGAGGGTCACTTGGGAAGGCCCCAGGGCCCTCTCCCCTAGACCGTGGGACCTGCACTGGAACAAGCTGGGCTCTGCTGGGTCCCTGCCCCTTGGGGAATGGGTGCACCTGCTACCGAGCTGCCTCCCCAGGGATGCTGATCCTGGCCTTGGGAGGGGGGAAGAGGGGCAAGGAGGAGGCCAAGAGACCCTCCAGGCCCCGCGGATCTTCCTGAAACCCAGCAGCCAGAGCTGGGCCTCAGTTCAGCTTCCGGAAGGGAGACACAGGAGGGGTGATCCCAAAGTGGGGGTCACGGTGCCCAAGGGAAGTTGTGAATATTCAAATCGACTGATCCCGGGCCAGCCGAGAAGGGCGCCCAGTGGAGTCCTTAAGGCTCAAAGTTTAGCACCTGGAGGGAGGCCGAGGGAGACTCTCCCCAGACGCCCTCTCGGGATTCCCCTAAAATGGCTCCAAGACGCGACTGCCTGGCCCGCCGGGAGGACTCCATCCCCCGCCCCTGCCCCCACAAGGTGGAAACTTAAAAACTCAAAAGAGGCAACTGTCAGCTGGGGGATGGGGGACCGGCCGGCGCGGGGGACTGATGCGTAACAGCAGGAGCAGGGTCCCGGGGGACAATCCAGAGTCCAGGGCAGGGCCCGGGGTATCGCGTAAACCCGCGCGCGCGCCGACCCGGCCTTGGGTGGCGCACTCCCACCCGCAGCCGCATCGGCCCCGGCCCGGCTGGGGACCCCCCGCGCGGCGCTCCCCGCGGTCTAGACGCGCGCGCGCGCGCGCACACACACACACACGCACCACACACACGCATACCGGCCCGGGCCAGCCCCGCCGGGCGGCCGCGGGCCGTAGATGCGCTCGGGCAAAGCCCTCTCCCGTCGCCCTCCCTAGCGCCCCCGTCCCCGACCCCGGCCCCGGGAGCCGCGGCACGGAAGACGCTCCACTCACCTGAGTTTCTCCATGTCTGCGGCAGAGGCCTGCGAGAAACCAAACGAGAGGGTCAGCAGGCAGGAGGCGTGCGCTCCGCGGCCGCGCCGGGCGGAGCTGGATACCGCGGGCATAGGCGGGCGCGGCGGCGGGTCACCCCCGCGCGGCTCGGTTGTTGGAAAGTCCGGCCCGCGCGCCCCCAGCCCACACTCACTGGCCGCAGTCCCTGGGACTCAATGGGTGCGCGGGGCCTCGGCCGAGTAACAGGTGAGCCCGCCCGGGCCGCCGCGCACCGAGTTACGCCCCCCGGGGAGAGGAAGGGGCTGGCCCGGGGACTCGGGACCGCGCTGACCCGGGCGATCCCAGTCTCGCCTGCCTGAAAAAGAGGGGTCCCGGCCTGGCTGCGTTAACTCTCCGGCGGCCGCGGTCCCCGCTGCACCC